GCTGCCGGGGCCACCGTTGCCACGAACGTTTCTAAGGGCGAACGGGACCTCGGCCGCACGTTGATCCAACTGTTGACTTCCAGGCAGGGAAGCATGTCGTTGCATTCAAAAGTGAACGAGCTCCTCGGCTTCAGCGCCATGGACTTTCACGAATCGCAATGCACAGTTGGCGAAGTGCGCGCCTTCGTTTATGGCGCACGCCTGAGGAAAACAGAGACGACGGACTCCTGGCTAGAGAAGATGCGCGCGGCCCACCGGCGCTGGCATCGGGAGGTCCTCCTGCCGCGCGTCTGGGGCGCGGTGGCAACCGGGGACCGCAAGCGGACCCGTGAGTAGAGCAACTCCTCCAACGCACCGACACCCAAAAAACACCCCTTTTTTATCTCGTCGCCCCCTGTGGAACCATGAGTTTCTGGGATCCATGAGTTTCCCCGCCACTCCTTAACTCGTGTTCCCGAACACCCCATGGGCCAAGATTTAAGGCGAAGCGGAGCGAGCCTTCAAAATCTTGTATATATATATATATATATATATGTTCCCCCCCCACATGACCATACATCTGCTTCCATTCATATCATAGTTCCTCCTCCTCCTCCTCCTCAATCTCCTCTTCCATTCCTCATCCTTATAAATGGCGTCTCCCTGTCGCACCCCGATGCCAGTGCTTAGGGCGGGCCGGGCGTTTCGCCTGAGACTTCCTCACCACGTTCGACTCTGAAATATTAAAATTGCGATCAGTTTCACACATTGAAGGCGGGTCGTTCTCAAAATGCAACTCTCGCCTTTGCGCCGCGCACATCTGTTTTAAACATTTGCAAGAGCTGCACGGATTGAGGGCGGGTGGTTTTCAAATTGTGGCTCTCGCCCCAGCGCGGCGCACATTCGTTTTCAAAAAAGTGCAACAAATTCACGGATTGAGGGCGGACGGTTTTCATAATTTGGCTCTCGCTTTCGCGCCGCGTACATTCGTTGTAAAACTTTGCAAGGGCTTCATGGATTGAGGGCGGGTGGTTTTCGAAATGTGGCTCTGGCCCTAGCGCCGTGCGCATTGGTTTATAGATTTACAAAAGCTTCACGGATTGGGGGGGCGGCTCCTTTTCAAAATGTGGCTCTCGCCCTTAACGCCGCGCACATTCGTTTTAAACATTTGCAACAGTTTCACAGATTCCCATGATCAGCATACCAGAAATAGCGTTTTGGAAGGATTAGGGGCTATGCGGGCGCAACGGCTATGTTGACTCGCTGTGTAGAAATCCTTGGAATGGCGTTCTGGCAAGATTCCAAATCGTCAGGACGCAGCAATCGGGTTTATCCGTGGCGTGGAAATCCCGAGAACACTATTCTGGCATGCTTCAAGGTCTCCAAACTGGTGTCTTCCAACGAGACAGTTCCCTCAATGGAAATGAACCGCTACAGGGGCCTATGAAAAGTGAGCTTGGAGGGAGGGATAATTCCAACATCGTTGAGGGCTCGTGGGTTTAAACTTGTCGTCCTCCTCCTTCTCCTCCGCCTCCTCCTCCCTCCTCCTCCCTCTATATATAGATATGTGTGTATGTATATATATATATATATACACACGTAATGCTCACCAGCGCATGTCGAGCTCGGCCCGACTGCCGGCTGCTCGAGGCCCGCACTCCCCTCGAGGTGTCCTCCAGACGGGCTCCACGTGCGAGCCACTCGTCAATGGTTGCGCGGCCACGATCGTGGGAGGCACGTCTCCCGACCTCACGCGAATCCTAGCAAGCAACGGGAACTGTGACGCCAGCTGAGTCGGACTACCGAGGGGAAGGACAACTCTTTCGCGGTCGGGAGCGCGGTTACCCCCCCGAGAGAGGAGGGGGGGGGGTCTTCCCCGTTATGATTCCGGGGCTGACATCAAGGGTGCAGACCTCAGTGGGACCTGAAAGCAACAGGATCATGTGTGTGTATGGTTTTCATGTTCCATGGTTTGCCGTCGTCTCTGATCGCTGCTTTCCGTTCACAGTAAAGGCGCCGTTGTTATAACGTTGCGGTTTTCCCTGGCGGGTGCCTGGTCCAGATCATAACTTTCTTACTGGATCCGAACCGTTTTCGAACCAGTGCCGAAAGTCCCGAATGCCCAAGCTGTTTCGGTGAACATGTTCGTCCTAGCTCGGGAAATCGTTTGTTTGCCCGCGTCCACTGTCAAAAGGCGCTTCGTTTTTCTGGAAAGCGGCCACCAGAAAAGCCCTGCCATGTTTGCAGCGCCCTCGCGTGGTGGAAGAATATACCAGAACAGTTGTTAGACGCCCTCCCATTAGGGGAACTACAACTTTCTGCATAGTAGGAGGAGGAACAGGAGCAGGAGCAGGAGCAGGAGGAGGAGGAGGAGGAGGAGGAAAAGGAGAAGGAGGAGGAGGAGGAGGAGGAGGAGGAGAGAGGAGGAGCAGGAGCAGGAGGAGGAGCATGAGGAGGTCTTAGGACAAGTCCTATTCACCGCCGAATCAAAAAGGGGGGCACCCCAGCTAAAGACCTTTCGCCGTTCACGAAGGGGGTTTCTGGGCAGCCTTCACAGCCCCTGGGAGCACTCGCGGTGGGCCCCGTGTCCGTCGACAGCAACGACACGGGACGAGAAGCGGGCCCCCCTGGGGAACGGGTCGAGGCCCCCGCGTTAGGCCCAGGCCCATGGCGTCATGTCTTCTTCGTGGCGAGACCCCCACAGGTCTCGACCAGCGAGGGGAGGGGCCGGATGACGACGAGGAGGAGGAGGAGGAGGAGGAGGAGGAGGAGGAGGAGGAGGAGGAGGAGCAGGAGACGGAGAATGAGGAGGAGGAGGAGGACGAGGAGGAGGAGAGAAAGAAGGAGAAGAAGGAGGAGGAGGAGGAGAAGGAGGAGATAGACGCGGTAAACGCAAAATCACAAGGCCGCCCAGGAGAGAAGCGGCGGGCAGAAGCCAGCACGGCTAGCCCGAGGAGCCCGGGGAGGGGGGCGGGGGGGGAAGCGGTCGCGGCGGGGGGCGGGGGGGCGGCTCCCAGGGCGGTCCTGGCGCCGCCGGCCTCGCCCTCGCCCCCGCGCGAAGCCGAGCAAGCGTCCCCCTGGCCATCGCTCGGACGTCCATTTCCTGTGCTTTTTCGCGAAGTGATCAAGGATGCTCCTCGATGGTCCTCGCCGAGGAAAAAACGCACACGTCCGAGCGATGCCAGGCCCCAGGACTGGCTGCTCATGGGGCTCACTTTTTTGGACAGTCCCGAGGCCCGGCGAGGGCCCCAGGGGCCGAAAACAGCCTGGGACCCCCCTGGCGCCCCTGGGGAAGCGCCAGGGTTGGCCGCGGTGGCCTCTTCGGCGGGCCCCTCCAGCGCGGCTCCGAAGAGGCGGGTTGCCCCCCTTTTGAGTGGGAGGTCGACAAGCAGAATCGAGTTCCCCCAGAGCAGAACTGCTCGTCGAACCCACGAACAGCACTTCTTACTCCCGCAGACATGCGAACATTCTACAAAACGTTCTCGCAGTTTCGACGACGACACATTCGACCAACCAACCGAATCCCCGTGCGCCACCGGCGCATTGGTCACTCATGGTCCTGCAGAGTTGAGTTACCCCGGAGTCCGAAACTAGAGACAGACCTTCCGTCGTGCTTTTGTTCACGACGCAGAAGACAAAGAGGATGAGCAGCGGTTGGCCGATCCCGCTCCCCCCCCCGGCGTGGCCGGGCCCCACTGGCCGAGTTACGCCGACCAGAGAAGGATGCAGACTGTCCCCCTACGGTTTCGAAGGGCACATCCATCCCAAACTGGGAGGGGTGGGCTCGCCATCGCTCGGATGTCCATTCCCTGTGTTGTTTTCGGTTTCGTGCGTGGCTTTTTCGCCAAGTGATCAAGGATGCTCCTCGATGGTCCTCGCCGAAGGAAAAGGGCACACGTCCGAGCGATGCCAAGCCCAGACTGGGAGGGGTGGGATGGTGGGGCCGAGCTACCGTGGCCCGGTAGGGAATGGGGACGCCGTTAACCGATGCTGGGAGGAGAGCGAGACCCTCCTCGACGTCGCGCTCCACGTCGTGGGTCAGGAGGTCGTCCTCGGGAAGCCAAGGGGTGCCGACTCCGCTGCTGCCCGGACCTCTCCTGGGGTGCGTTCTGGCCAGGACTTCGGGGCGAAGCCAGCGGCGGCGGCGAGGGCCTCCCAGGAGGCCCAAGAGGGCGAAAACGAGGCAAGGGTAGCAGTATGTGTACCTTTCCCGACGAACGAACCGCACACACACAAACACAAACACACACACACACACAGACACACACACACACAGACACACACACACACACACACACACATACGCACAACACACACCACACACCACACACACGACACACATATATCACACACGACACACATCACACACAACACACACAACACAACACACAACACACAACACACACCACACAACTCACAATACACACACAACACACGCTCATGCACACGCACGCACACATACACACACCACAAACACACACACACCACAAACACACACAAAAGACAAGCACGCACGCACACACGCACACACACACACATCCATACGCGTGCTGTCGGATGACCCCCCTGCTCGAACGGGAGCCTACCCCGGGGTCCGCCACCCCAGCCCTCCTCCCTCCGACCAACACCTCCAGGTATGAGTGTGTTGTTCGTTCGCCATGTCCCTTCTCTGACGTTCGAGGCCTCCTAGGTGGGGTCCGAGCAGATGGGGTCGGAGGATCGCTACTCATCACCGATGCACCGGCGATGCATCGGTGGTGCACTGGCAATGCATCGGCGACGTCGGCGATGCATCGCCGACGTCGACGTGCAGCCAGTCGGCGATGCATCGGTGGTGCACTGGCATTGCATCGGCGACGTCGGCGATGCATCGCCGACGTCGACGTGAAGCCAGCCGGGCTCCGCATCCAGCCGCATCGGCAATGCATGGGCGATGCGGCGCGATCCTCCGACCCCATCTACTCGGACCCCACCTAGGAGGCCTACACTGACGTCCATCGAACACACGGGCCCGTCGCCGCCCGAGCCGCCCGTGACCACCGCGCCGGCGGCCAGGTGCCGCCGCGCGCACTCCCGCAGCGCGAGCCGCAGCCGCCAAGCCGCGGCGGGGCTGCCCGACCTCCGGCGGAGCCCAGGCCGGCGGCGGGGCTTCGCGGAAGGCTCGGGAGGCCTCTGGTCTTCTGAGGTTCCTCCCCCTCCTCCTCCTCCGCCTCCTCCTCAATCCTCCTCCTCCTCCGCCTCCTCCTCCTCCTCCGTCCTCCTCCTCCTCCTCCTCCTCCTCCTCCTCCTCCTCCTCCTCCTCCTCCTCCTCCTCCTCCTCCTCCTCCTCCCTCCTCCTCCTCCTCCTCCTCCTCCTCCTCCCATCCTCCCTCCCTCCCCTCCCTCCTCCTCCTCCTCCTCCTCCTCCTCCTCTCCCCCTCCTCCTCCTCCTCCTCTCCTCCTCCTCCTCGTCCTCGTCCTCGTCCTCCTCGTCCTCCTCCTCCCCCCCCTCCTCCTCCTCCTCATCCTCTCCTCTCCTCCTCCTCCTCCTCCTCCTCCTCCTCCTCCCCTCCTCCTCCTCCTCCCCTCCTCCTCCCCCTCCCCCTCCCGCCTCCCCCCCCCCCCCTCCTCCTCCCCTCCTCCTCCTCCTCCTCCTCCTCCTCCTCCTCCTCCTCCTCCTCCTCCTCCTCCGCCTCCGCCTCCGCCTCCGCCCTCCTCCTCCTCCTCCTCCTCCTCCTCCTCCTCCTCCTCCTCCTCCTCCTCCTCCTCCTCCCCCTCCGAATCCTCCTCCTCCTCCTCCTCCGCCTCCTCCTTCTCCGATGGGCGGAGATGTCCCGCAAGGGCATGGCGGAAACAGCGTGGGCAAGGCATGGAGAAAACAGCGACCCGACAGAAGCTTGAAAAAGGGGGGCGCGCACGCAGTCGCCCAAGGTACGGACCCGACGTCCGAGTCCGGCGACTCCGAAGGGGCGGGGTGTGCAACGGGCGCGTTGATACAATCCGCACCCCGGGGGGGGCGGGCAGGGACCCCGACGGACTTCTCCGCCGCGCCACCCCCCCCGGGGAGGCCCGACGCGCGCAGCGTGGCGCCCCCAACCCCCCAACGATGGCGATCGCAGACCTCGGGCCGGGCGAAATGGGGGGGGGGGATAGCAATGGGGGGGGGTTGAGAATCAGCTCACGCAGCTGATTCTCCCAGCGCCTCCTGGCGCTTGAGGCGGCTATGTATCGAGGAATGGGCCCGGCGGCAGGGCGGGGCGGCGGGGCCGCACCCCCCAGGAGGCCCGACGCGCGCAACGTGGCGCCCCCGACCGCCAACGACGGCGATCGCAAACCACACCCTGCCGTCGCTCGGACGCCCCTTTCCCGTGCATGTTTCGATGTCGTGCGTGTGTTTGTTGTTGCTCGATGGTCCAGGAGGGTCCCCGATGGTGCTCGCCGAGAAAACAAAGGCACACGTCCGAGCGATGCCAAGACACGCGCCAGCGCGACCACACCCGCTGCGTGGCTGCCGGGAGGTGGCCCGCCAGGCCCCGTGCCCCGTGGTGGGCACCCCGCCCCGACCTCTCGCAGGCGGCCGCGGCGGCCGCGCGCGCGACAAGGTTCGGGGGCACCCCGTCGGCGTCCATGCGGGCGAGCAGCGCCACCGCCTCGCTCGGAGCGACGAGGAGGCGAGAAGCCCGTGATGAGGAGACGGTGAGCCAGAAGGCGATGGCCACGGTCAAGATGAAGCTTCAGGCGAGGCGACGATGAAGCGAACAGGCGAGAAGACGATGAGGCGAGCAGGCGAGAAGACGATGACCATGCTCAAGCAGGAACGCGGGAACGTCGGCGTCAATCTTGGTCACCGTCCGTATTCGTCGTCGTCGTCCTCAATTCGAGGATCCTCCTCGCGAATCGGCGACGGCCGACATGGTCCATGGCAAGGATCTGCATCAACAAGATCCCGCGGTATCTTGGTCGTGGTCATCGTGTTGCACCCCTCCCGAGACTTGGCGGTGCGCACTAAGGGTACGAGTAGGGGATCGACCACAGAATTCATGTACCCGAATCTGCATTGTTTCCATCGAATCTACAGACAAAATCCTCCGATCCTGCCGGCGCGTGTGAGGGGCTTGTGAGTTCGAGTTGCCGTCTGCGTCAGTCGTCGTCTCCACCGTCCCCCGTTCCTGCACACTCCTCCTCAAGCTTGTCAGCGAGAGTGAAATCACGCAGTGTCGTAATCGAGTCGAAGGGAAGCCCCTTTCCTTTGATCCCTCCCCCGTCCGGCGTGGGGTGGGGGTCCCGGGAGGGGTCCTTGGGGGTAGGGGGAGGCCAGATACGCATCCCCCCTCGAGGTCCCGGTGCCTCAGAAGAAAATACCAGCACAGGCCAAGAGTGCCCCAGGATTCCCCCAAGACGGTCCCAGATGGTCGCCAATCGCCAAACGATCGGTCCAAAACGCCTTCGCGCCCCCCAGACTGCCCAGGAGGCTTCCAGGACGCCCCAGGAAGCCTCCAAGAGCACTCCCGAGAGGGCCCCAAGAGGCCAAAATCGTTGACTTCTCATTTAGGTGTTCTCGCCTTTTCCACTTCCCGCCGCCCCAAGACGGCGCAGGAGGCCCCAAGATCGCCCCAAGACGGCCCAAGAGGCCTCCAAGATGGGGAAACGAAAATGCACCTATACCACTACTCCCCGGATCTCTCCTGGGGTTCGGTCTGACTAGGATTTCGGGGCGAATCCAGCGGTGGTGACGAGGGCCTCCCACGAGGCCCCCAAACAGGAAAACGAGGCAGGGCTAGAGGTATGGGTACCTTCTCCTCCTCCGACAAGAATGGCACCGAAACAGCCCCAGAGGACCCCGAGGCAGCCCACAAAGCCTATCAGACGGCCCAAGATGAAGGGGCCCTGGGACACACAAAAAAGTACACACAAATTAAAGGACCCCCCATATTGTGTTATATTTTCAGGGTTTTTGTCTTCCCCCCCACTTTCCAGATTTTTTCATATTTTCCTGGGGATCGTCGATTAATTGTGTCTGTGTGTTTTTCCCCTCCTGACAAGAGATCACTCAAACGGTCCCAAGAGCGTGCCCCGACGGGGGGGAGCCCGAGCGGACCTTCGGTTCGGGTCCCTCGGCCCTCCCAGGAGGCCCTCGGAGGCTCCCATGAGGCCCCAAGAGTTGGGTCGGGCGTGTCCTCCCACAGGCGAGTTTTGCAAAAACGATCAGAAGTCATAAAAGTAGTAATGAAATCGTCCCAGACAATTTTCTGACTACTTTTGCATATACCTCCTGTAGAGGGGCATGCCCGACTTAACCCAAGAGGCCCACAAGAGGCCCCATGGAAGCCCGAAGAGACCCCCCACGAGGCTCCCCAAAGGCCAGAAAATTCCTCCCGAGAGGCCCCCAGAAGCCTTCCGAAGAGACCCCAAGAATCGTCCCTGAGGACTCTGGCCTACGTCAGCATCGTCGTCGTCGTCGTCGCCGCCGTTGTGGTCGTCGTCGTCTCCCGTCAGGGTCGGCGGCACCGGCCGTAAGGCCCTCGTAAAACATAGCATCTTTTACAAATATGCAGGGCATTATACTCATTGTTGGCGGACTCGACGGTTGTCAAATCAATTATGATCTTTATGTTTCACCAATTCGACTCGACTCGAACATTCGACTTATTGTTCTGCGAATTCTACGGTAAATCACCTCTGCAATTGACCCCCTACTCGAAGGGTGGCGCCACAAGGGGGGGGGGCCTTCCGAGAAGGCAGGGGGGACTTCTGGAAGGCGGGGGCCTTCTGAGGCGCGCCCAGCCTTCTGAAGCACGCCCAGCCCTTCCCGGACGGCCACCCCCCTGCGCGCGCTTCTGACGGACCTCTCGGCTACACGCAAGAGTAGATGCCTCCTAGATGGGGTCCGAGAAGATGGGGTCGGAGGATCGCGCCGCATCGCCGATGCATCGGCGATGCATCAGGGACGCACTGGAGACGCATCGTCGATATCGGCGATGCATCGGCGACGTCGACGTGAAGCAACTCGGGCTCTGCATTGAGCCGCATCGGCGATGCATCGGCGATGCATCGCCGATGCTGCGCGATCCTCCGACCCCATCTGGGAGGCCTAGATAGAAATAATGACCCTAGGCGAGAATAGCCTTTGGTGCGCGGCCCAGGGGGGCCCACTGGGGACGCCGCCAGGCGCGCAAGCTGATGCTATCGCATCGCGTTCAGCGATCGCGGGGCCCCATTGCGCCCGCGCCAGAAATCACTCCGGCGAAAGGTCACTCTTACGTGTAGTCGACCATTTGGCGCCGCGGGAAGACCACCCCGGCCGGCTTGCTCCCAGAGAGTCTGGGCCGGCCTCTGGGGCCCCCGCTGCGGGCCTGAAGAACCCCCCTGCGACCAAAGACGGACGGGCCGCGGAAACGTCGCGGGAGCCCCGGGGATCTGCTGACCCGGGTCAATCCAAACCCGGGTCAAGCAGGCCTTGAGGGATCCTGCAAACTCCTGCAGGATCCTGCGCCCAGGCCGGGTTCGGTGCAGCCCTGGCTGGGCAGGACCCTGCAAAATCCGGCGCTCTGACGGACCCCCGTTTGCATGGACCCCTGTCCCTTGAGCCCCGAGGTCCAGGGCGGCCCTATTGGGCGGGTGGAAATGAGGGGTGACCTGACTGGGCGGTGAAGAAAATGGCCCTGAAGACATGAGTTGTCACTTTAGGGTTAGGTCGGGCATGTACCCCTACACGCTGATTCTGGACGAAAAGTTAAAAGTATCCAAAAACAACGCAAACATATTCAAACATACTACAAAATAGTCCCCTCATTATTGTTTCGACTATTTTGAATAGTCCTCCTGCCGAGGGACACGCCCAAATGAACTTTAGGGGCCCTTTGGGAGCCAGCAGGGGCCCAAAAGGAACCCTTTCACACCCCATTTAGGCCACCCCCCACCCCCCATTACCGCCCGCCCGACCCTCCCGAACGGCCCAAGTCCGCTCAAAACCGGTCCCCAGACCCCTCCTGGAGTGCACGGCTTCCCCCGGGGCCGTAGGCGACCAAAGGAGGAAGAGGGGGAGGAGGAAGAGGAGGAGGAGGAGGAGGAGGAGGAGGAGGAGGAGGAGGAGCAGGTGGAGGAGGATGGAGGAGGAGAGGAGGAGTAGTAGGGAGAGGAAAGATGGAGGAGGAGGAGGAGGAGGGAGGAGGAGGAGGGAGGAGGAGGAGGAGGAGGAGGAGAGGGAGGAGGAGGAGACGGAGGAGGAGGAGGAGGAGGAGGAGGAGGAGGAGGAGGAGGAGGAGGAGGAGGAGGAGGAGGAGGAGGGAGGAGGAAGGAGGCGGAGGACGGGTCGCCTAAGCCCCTCGGAGAAAGCCTCCATCATGGAGCCCAGCCTGACCAGCCCTTCCACGGCGGATCCGGCCGCGGCGGCGGGAGGCCTCCGGGAGGCCCAGCGGCGGCCATGAGCGCGCCAGCGGGGGCCGCTGCCTTGCCTCGATAGGGGCCTCCTCCGCGAGGGGGGGGGGCGCGGCCGCCTGCTCCCAGCACTGGCTGCGCCTGCAGGCCACCGCCGCCGCGGCGAAGGCGACGGCGTCTGGCTTCGGCGCGGAGCCGCCACCGCGCAGCAGGCGCAGGGCGGACTCCCACCGCCAGCCTTTCTCGCAGGCGCCGATCGCCGCACATCGCAGCAGGACGTTCGGCGGCATGCCGCGCCGCTCCATCTCGGCGAGCAGCCCCAGCGCCGGAGCCCACTGCTGGCTGGCGGCGCAGCTCCCGATGAGGGCGCTGAACACGACCTCGTCCGCGAAGATCGCCGAGGCCCGCATCCGCCCTAGCACGCCCAGCGCAGCGGCCCACTGCCGCGCCCGGCCGCAGGCGCTGGCGAGGCTGCTGTGGGCCGCGGCGTCCAATGGCGCCTGGTGCGACTGCATCTCCTCGAGCAGGTGGAGGGCCTGGGGCCAACGGTGGCTCCCCTCGCAGGCGCCCGCCGCGGCGCCGTACCCGGCGGCGCCAGGCTGGACGCCCGCGGCGCGGGCGGTGGCGAGCAGCCACAACGCGGCCTTCCACTCGTGGCCCTTCTCGCAGGCACCGATGGACGTGTTGAAGGTGATCGCGTCGGGGAGGAGCTCCCAGCCGCGCATCCCCGCAAGCAGGGACACCGCGTCCGCCCATCGCCGCGCCCTGCCGTGTGCCGAGATCAGCGTGTTCAGGGTGGCGGTCGTCGGGCGAAGGCCGCTGTGCACCAGCTCCGAGAAGAGCGCCGTTGCGGCGGCGAGGTGGCTGCCGCGCTCGCAGCTGGCGATGGACGCGTTAAACGCGAGGACGTCTGGTTCGACCGATCGCGCGGGCATGTCCCTGAAGACCCTCATCGCCAGAAACCACCGCTGTCCCTGCGAGCATGCGCTGATCACCACGCTGTACAGTACCGTGTTCGGCTGCACGGCTGCCAAGGGCAACTCCTTCAGCACGTGCAGGGCCCGTGCCCAGTGCCTGCCCCGCGACCACGCCCCCGCCGCCGCGCAGAACGCGAAGACGCTCGGCGCCGCCCCCGCAAGCCGTGCCAGCGCCCGCGGCCACGCGGAGGACCTCGTGTGCTCGCCCGCAGCTCGCACCGCCCGAGCTGCCTCCACGGCCGCCAGCGACACAGCCTCGCTGGACTCCGCCGCATGGCGGGCCGGCACGACGTGGCGGCACGCCCCCGGGCGACTGGGCATGAGCCCTCCTTGGAGGTGGACACTTTTGCGGGCGGACGGGGAGATCCTCACGAACTGCACGCCTTGCCGCAAATCGCCGCATCGGCGCGAAGCAGGCGTGCAAAGAAAGCGGGCAGATCGAAAAACGCCACTGCCCAGGAGCCGTCTGGTGCTTCCGGCGTGGCGCTCCATGGTCTCGCACTGGCTTCTTCCCCGACCCAGATTGTTCCATGATCCTTTCTTTATTCCCTACCTAGGCTCTGCCTAGAAGGGTTCTTACTCGCTATGCTTAAAGGGCCGGGCAGTGCAAAACGCCCCAGGCGGTTCCCCCGGCATCCGCTCCGCGGTTCCCCCAGTGACGTTCCCTTAGCTTAGCGTTGCTTATCTCATCTTAGCTTAGCTTATTTCATCTTAGCTTAGCTTCGTCTTAGCTTAGCTAAGCTTCATATAGATGTTGCTTTCCTAGATCCTCCAACTCCTAGGTAGGGTCGCACTGGGATCATTATAAAAAACGGCAGCTTGCTCCATGGATGGCGGGAAGTGGCCGGGTCAGTCGCGGCTCGTCCTCACACCCCCCCCGCGGGGGCGCACGCGCGCGCCAACGAAGCGCGGGGTCGGCCGCCCAGGCTTCGGCGGCGCCGCGGCCTCGCCCCGCGCCCGCCTCGTGGGCGCCTCCTGCGCTGGAGGGGTGCCCGCCAGCGGGCGCCTCGTGGGCGCCTCGTGCGCTGGGTGCGTCGGCCGAGGTTTCACCGGGTGCCCGGCCGAGGGCCGTGGGCGCCCCTGGGCGGCTCGTGGGCGCCTCGAGCGCCGCGTGGCCACGCGCAGCCTGCACTGCACAGCGTGCACCACGTGGCGTGCACCCCACGGCCTGCACAGCCTGGCAATTGC